CTGTTCCCCGTTCCCCGTTCCCCGTTCCCCGTTCCCCGTTCCCCGTTCCCCGTTCCCCGTTCCCCGTTCCCCGTTCCCCGTTCCCCGTTCCCCGTTCCCCGTTCCCCGTTCCCCGTTCCCCGTTCCCCGTTACTAATTTTAGTAACATCCATTCCGCTCTGGTAATCCAGTTCTCAGTCAATTTCACTTTCTTCGTCAAGAGACATTCCCAAATGATCTCCATCTCCAGTAAATATGATTTCTAAAGCCTCTTCAACAGAGTAATTCGCCGATCTCGGTCTCTTCGCTGCAGGCGCCATGGCTGGATCGATCACAACTCACACTTGGTTTGAAAAAAAATTGTCATGTACGCTGAATTAAGCATCTTCCCTACAATTCGGCAAGTAATTGACTTAAACTGTTTACTTCCTGTGTGCCAAATTTGGCGTCAAACTGAAGTCACGCAATTTTTTGGGTAATTTTATACTGTTATGGGGTCAGAAATGACCCCATAGGAATAGCGGCGGATAGAACAATATTACGACATTCATGACATTTACCAGGAGTCCATTCACGAGCGATGATAAATTGATCTCTATAATTTGAAAGGTTATGGAGTCGCATTACCACACTAACCAGGACCACAATAACTGGCGATGACAAGTTGATCTCCCACAGTTTGATAAGTTTTCACACATTCTCAACAGACACGGGGAGCTTACGCTGCGGGAGATGATACTTGCAGTAAAGCCATATGCGTCCTCGCATGTATAGGTAGGTGTGCAGCCGTTGACAGGAGAATTACAAGATCTAAAGAGCTCATACTAACTTGTTTTAAATGCACGGAGTTATATCATTAGTGATTTAATTGTTATGATCTGCATTTAATTTCATTGCCATCACGCGGTTGCCCTTTTGTGATTGACCAATTCAAAATAACGTCGTCCAATCAGAAAAGGGCAATCAGCGTGACGGTTTCTGGCATGCACATGAGAATCTTGCTACGCATCTCAGACGCTTAAATCTGTGGGACTTTGATTTTCTTCGAGGACTGGCTCCGGTCCGTTTGGATGGATTTTCGATTGGAGGGTACGAGGAGAATCGTGCATCTTTTGACCTTAATGCTGCAAAGTTTGAAAGCGGAGTGATGCGATTTTCGGGGGGAAAATCGCTCGGGTGCTTGAACCCTTTCAAAACAAGGTTTTCACCCTTGTCTTTCTTTTATGCATTACATTAACGACGAACTCAGACTTATTCAAAACCGCTGGAAAAAAAAAAACATTTTTGAGGCAATAGGGCGACTATACACCACAGGTAAAGCAATTCAACATTTATTTATCAATGATTTATGTACATAGTAATATATCACTATAGGTGAGGGAAACGGTAAATCTGGTACATTCACTATAAAACAACAGTCGGCTACACAGACAGATTGTATGGGCCCCCTGTGGGCTCACTAGCGTCGGGCTCAGATAGAATGGTCACTTTTATTAATTAATTTTTAGCGCAGTGCACTTGAGTTGCCTACGTCAAACAAAGGAGCTATCTTTAAACAAGTGTCTTACACTCACAGTAAAGGGCCAGTCCGTCTAAGGGACCGACCATTTAACTTTTGAGGGGGATGGGTGGGTGATTTTGAAAAAAAAATTTCTTGCAAGCGCTGGTTGGAAGGAAAAAACTGCATGTAGTCCAAATGTAACAGAAGAAAAGAGCATTTAGAACGGAAAAAAATATCCTGCCCAGCAGATTGCTAGAAAAAAATTTTTTGATGACCAGAAATCTCCCACCCCCCCTCAAAAGTTAAATGGTCGGCCCCTAAATCACTGAGTTTATTGAAAGCCTTATCTGTCAATTGGCTGGAAGACTCCCGTAGGAAAGGAAAGTTTCTTTTGTCATCATGATCTATTGCCAGTGATTCTGTGCTAAACAATATTGAATAAATTTGAGGCTGAAGATCAGGCTTTTACTTTTCATTCAGCTCGGAGTGATTAATTACATTTACACTTCATTTTGAAAACATTAATAACTTTCGTCGTAGAACTACATGTTTCTCTAAACCGCTTTTCTTTTACTTCATTTCTTTTCGGTAAACTACATTTTAATCATATGGTAGCAAAGTTTAAATAGGTTCCAAATACACACAAATTTATCGATATAACGATAGACAGCACAAATCTTTTAAGGTAAATTGATTTTGATTCTCTTCTCTTTCCCCTTTTTCACTTCTAATTTCGAAAAAAAAGCAGTCGGCACTTTTGATGACGTATAATATTCCACTACCCATAGAAATTTGGATGGTTTGCTCCTAATGTTTAAAATCAATTAACTGATTAACAGAATTTTGTTTTACACAAGTAGAGGAAGTGAGTTTATAAATAGCGGAAATGGCAGATACTTTTACTGTTTATTGTTTTAAAGTAGTCCAAAACACTTCAGCTTTCCAAGTGTGTGGTATCCTTTTTCATGAACCTCACCGGTGTCTCCAAACCTGAGTTGTTTCACGGGAAGCTTGGATTTGTTTGTGAGTAAACTGCTATCGTTTTGCCAGCTGAGGTTTTCGTTGTCGCAGTTGCACCCATAATGATTGTCTGCACATGTTTTGTTCAAGCCGCATGCGCATCTGGAGTCAACAGAATCAGCGCCTCCCCAGTACTTCATCTTCTCTCCGTCACGTGACACCCACCAACCATACATTGTACCTCCGAATGTGAGCACTGAGTCATAGCACTCGTACATTATAAACTGCTCACAGTGAGCGGATGAAGCAGTTAGGCTTGCTAACTGAAGGAAACTGGTCTTATGGTAAGTGACATTGCGCCAGTAACTTCCAGGGCCATTATATCCGTTCACCAGTGTTCTATTTTCATTGTCGTGACTGACAACTGTCACTCCAACACCTTCTTTGTCAACCATGTCACAGTAGACTTTAAAAGGCTNACACAAATTTATCGATATAACGATAGACAGCACAAATCTTTTAAGGTAAATTGATTTTGATTCTCTTCTCTTTCCCCTTTTTCACTTCTAATTTCGAAAAAAAAGCAGTCGGCACTTTTGATGACGTATAATATTCCACTACACATAGAAATTTGGATGGTTTGCTCCTAATGTTTAAAATCAATTAACTGATTAACAGAATTTTGTTTTACACAAGTAGAGGAAGTGAGTTTATAAATAGCGGAAATGGCAGATACTTTTACTGTTTATTGTTTTAAAGTTGTCCAAAACACTTCAGCTTTCCAAGTGTGTGGTATCCTTTTTCATGAACCTTACCGGTGTCTCCAAACCTGAGTTGTTTCACGGGAAGCTTGGATTTGTTTGTGAGTAAACTGCTATCGTTTTGCCAGCTGAGGTGTTCGTTGTCGCAGTTGCACCCATAATGATTGTCTGCACATGTTTTGTTCAAGCCGCATGCGCATCTGTAGTCAACAGAATCAGCTCCTCCCCAGTACTTCATATTCTCTCCGTCACGTGACACCCACCAACCATACATTGTACCTCGATATGTGAGCACTGAGTCATAGCACTCGTACATTATAAACTGCTCACAGTGAGCGGATGAAGCAGTTAGGCTTGCTAACTGAAGGAAACTGGTCTTATGGTAAGTGACATTGCGCCAGTAACTTCCAGGGCCATTATATCCGTTCACCAGTGTTCTATTTTCATTGTCGTGACTGACAACTGTCACTCCAACACCTTCTTTGTCAACCATGTCACAGTAGACTTTAAAAGGCTTCACTTCACTCTCTCCATCAGGGTCGATGACGTAAGAGCCACTTGGGAGATTACATAGTTTGATTTGACTGCAGGTTTTATCCCCTTAGAAGAAATGAAGTTGAAAATAATTGTAAGTGATGCGTAGTAAACATCGAACAAATAAATTATCACACTTTCATGGAAAAAAAGTAAAACATAACGGTAGACTACATTTAATTCATTTAAGAAAGCAGTAACCACTTACGTAATCTGACCTTGGTAATGATTTTATCAACGAAGAAGAAAACAACGTTTGTGGATGTATGAAAATTATATCTTTGAACTGCGGTTAGAGGAATGAGTATGAGCGCGATCTTCGCAGTAATGAAAACTACTACTAAGTAGACTCATATTCTGGCAAAGTCTGGAGATTTTAATTTTTTTCATATTGCACACCTCCGGGCGATATTTACGGACGGCCGCTATTAAGCAGTGGTGTGAATAAGAAGAAAACAGTTAAAAAAGCTCAGCCTTTGCTGAATTTGATAATGAAAAAATATTCGGAACACGTAATCTAAACTAAAAACAATCGCACAAGTTCCTTTTACACAAGTTCAGACCAGCCATAATGAAATATTCATTAGTACTTTTTCAGGAATGGGCAGAGTTGAAAAGTTTTTTAGCTCGAAATTATATTTAAAACAAGAAAAGTAAAATAAAAAAGTAGATTACATTTCATTTATTTTGGGAAAGTGGGAACAAACTCAGTGAATCTGCGCGCTACAGCGCGAACGTCCTTCATATTTATATTTTACAATGGCTTATGACTAAGTGTCTAGCACACACTGAAACGTAGCACACTTATGCGTTAAGAATGCTCGTTCACTTCAGCTGTATGTTTATCAAGATATGAAGTACTTAGGATGTTTTAAAGCTCTCAAGAAGCTAGAGTTGAGAACGCTTGTTAACACATGAATCGATCGTTGAGTGAGATTGGCCAATCCCACAAAATTTGGAGTTAACCTTTCAACAAATGTATTTTTCAACATATAAAAAACAAGCCAGAAAAGAAAAAAAAAATAATTTCCAGCATTTGAAAAGTAAAAGAAACAAACAAAAAAAAATTACAACACATTTTATACCTCCTTGTTTGCAGTGAGTTCCGCAGAATCCAGGCTTGCAGTCACAGCGATAGGAGTTCGATACATATTCAGGAACACAAACACCACCGTTCATACAAGGAACGCTTTCACATGG